GCGATAGCTGCTGAGAGGCCGGCGATACCACCTCCAACAATGAGGACTTTCATGACTGCTTATGAGTGGGTCGAAAGTTCGAGCTTAACAACAAAAAAGGGCGCAACAATCGAGGAGGTGCAAGACGAAGCTATCCGAATGCTTCGCGACCGTCAAGTTAGAGTTGATGCGCGTGCTTGCTGCTGGTGTGGCCGGTCCTTGCACTTGCAGCAAAATGCATGCACGGAGTGACATCGAGCGCTTGGATGTTTATCCCTGCACCCCGTACATACTCGCCTTCGAAGCCGAATAGATATACGATTGAAAAAATGGTGGAAAGTCGGAGAAAAGATGTTGTAAGTCATGGAGTCGATCGTGGAGCCAAGAAAGTTAGCGGTAAATTTAAGCTTGGGACTTTGGCCCAAATGGAAATTGAAAATAATTTGTTGGATCCCGTCATCTATTCGCCTAGGAGAATTTCCGATACAGCGAGTTTCCTTCTCGGGATATCTTCTCGATGTACCAGTGCCTCATGAGCATTACAGCCGACTGCCATGGCTTTGTATACGTCGAGCATACCTGCACGCGATTTTCCTCCTCTGTCAAAGCACCTTATAACGTCAGCAGCAAAGCTCCCAATAAGGGGTAGGCCTTGCACTTAGATTCAAGAACAACTAGGCAGTACGTGGAGAGCAACACTTGCAACATAGTATTACAAGATCTCTAGGATAGGTAACCTCTTCGGCTTTAGAAAAGGAGGTAAGCGAGAATATCTTGACAGAAGCGTCAATACATCAATGCTCACTCCCCAGAGTATAGAGATTCTCACAGAACTTAATGATTACACACATTCTAAACACAATATGCGAGAAAGTACTCGCTTTCTCTCTGAGATATCCGGAGAGCAATCTCTTTCCTCATTTTCCAGTTGCCCAAACCCCTCGCTAAAAATACAGCATGTAAGATTACACAAACCGAGAGTTCCAAACGCTAAAAACACAATGCTATACAAAGATCATGAAACAAAGGTGCAAGTACTGAAAGTATCAGTCCCCGCAATACACTGCCAAGGCTCAAAACAATCATACTGGCCACCTGAGCAAAGCATTCCATCAGTTGCGTATGTACAAAGAAAGCATGTCGAAGATTGGTAGTCGCATACCAAGCCATTCGGACAATTGCTATAGACGCCGCATGATACAGGCTTGGAGGCGGTGGCAGGTTTGGGCATTGGTGTGGGAGTGACGGCAGATGTCGCAGTGTTCGGGGAGTTCGAAGAGGTGGGTGCTGAGGAAGGCGGGGTTGAGACCTGGCAGTTGCTGTGGCATGCTAGAAAGATATTGTTCAAGGTGCGAGGTGGTACTTACGTTGTGCAGGTGCTTTCTGGGACGGCAGAGGTGTAGGATGTGGAAAGGGTCTGTCTGGGGCTGGCTGATGTGGTGCTAGTGGTATTTGAAGTAGGAACTTTGAGGGCAGAGCTCTTTGAAGCTGTGTTGGTGTGATGAGACGTCCCCGAGAACAGACTGGATACAGATGCTGAGCTGTTCGATTGCCCTAGAACTTGCGTGGAGATTATCCCATTCGTGCCTATCGAATTGATCTGTATAGTGGTTGCAGAATCTGTTGTAACAGTTGAATGCCTGTGATTCTTCTTGCTAACGGTGACAGCAGTGATGATACCCGCGATAGTGAGGATAGCCAGGATCGCAAGGGTGCAATATAGCTTGTATCCCCACACGTTTTTTCGACGACGGCGAGCTCGCTCTCTCCTCTTGTCTCCAATTCCAAAAAGAACATTGTCTAGTGGTGCTGCTTCTTTCGGGATCTCGTCAAGGTTCTAAGATTCCTCGAGACTTTCTTGACGTGGGCGACCTTTCTCTTGCTTCAGCTGTTGTAGCCAGCCATTCTCAGACGATGAGACGGAATGTGAAGCTTCGATTGAGTCTGCCGGTTCTGCAAAGCTTTGACGCTCTCGACTTCCGGATGGCGAAGTAACTGCATCTTCAGGATGCCCTCGTGGTGATTCCGGCTGTGTAGTCCTTGGAGTGGGCGGGAGCGGACCCGAACTAAAGCTTCTTGGAGACTGCGTGAAGTTAGTCGGAACTCCGTTGTGATAATGGATAGATATATTCTAGGAGTCTAGTTATTGTATGTGAATGTGAGATTTCCGTGGGTATTTTTACTATTGATCTGGGTAGCGCTATCAGAATCCGTCATTCGTCGTTGCGTAACTCCAACACCGTCTTTTTTTCGTAGTCTTCCACGTTTAACCTTTCTAGATCCACCCATTCTGGGTTTTCGAATTAGTCGATTAGAATACACTTAGGTTACCCTGTGGAAAGGTATAGTCCTTGTCCATAGATGAATTCGAGCCCCTTTTGTATCCTAGTTCACACATCACAGGCGAATTCTTGTGCAGGATAGTTGTTAGGCAAATCTCGAGGTGAGCCTCAGGAACTGTTTTTAGGTTCAACCAACCACTTCGGAGGTGATAATACAATCTCTTGCTCATAAATAAGATACCTCAACCGCATGTCTTTCCAGAAGGCTTCTTTAAGCGCTTCATAGTCATATGGCTCAGAAAAAGGTGGGGCTTGAACGGGATTATTGTGCATTGCACGCACTTTCACAAGTCATTAGGTCGGATGTGGAGGTTTCTATCTTAGGATAAGCGAGGGGAAGGGCTGCACGCCACTTGCAACTTGAGGCTCGAATGGAGTTTGAAACGTACAAGAATAGGTGCCATGTATGATGTCTTTGGGAGTTGTGGGGGTTTATTCAGGGCTGAAACCAGAAGAGATCGAAGGATAGTAAATCAAACCAATAGAAAACGTAGACAGCTCTTGTGGCTAGAAAATTGGGAAGCGACAACCTTTGTCCTGATAGCTTGTCGGGCTGCGATCATCCAAAGGAAAAGTGAGGCGGGCGACATGAAGGAGGGTTACACGAGCCTCATACGACAACGAATCATAGAAGGATTGAGGCCCAATGTTCCACGAGGCATCGGCCCAGTCCGTTTTGATGCAGCGTCTCTGCCTCTGCCCCGCCCAAATGTGCTGGCGCATGAATCTCCTCTGAGTTCTTTTCCCTGAAATTGGTTCTCTGTACGTCCTTGACAGATGGTGCTTATTTAAGACCCCCAGATCGAACATGATACTGACCCCGCTTCAACAGCGGTAGAGGCGTTATCAATAGCAGCTATAATCATGTCAGGTGTCGGTCGAGTTGATAGCGGTCCTAGGTGTGGCTGCTAGTGCCGCGCAGCTCCCTGATTACAGGCTGAAAATTATTGGGACGATTTCTGAGATATATAGTTGAGTCAAAGACGCACTGAATCGCATTGTTCGATAAATCAAGTAATTGCTACTTGTCGAGCGATACAGGAGTACAAGGACCTTAACACTCCCTGATTGAACATCACGGGAGAGTATTTCTGCGGAATCAAAACACTTGAATAAAGGACTCGGGATCATCCATCGAGACTACACTGGAGGTTCCAGCAGGAGAAGAGTATAGACTGCAATTGTGAGTAACCAGAAAAAGAACATGGTAGCGAGTTTTGAAGGGTTGATAAAGGAGAAGACAGCACTCATCCTCTGCATCAGTGTTGTTCACACCCACACGTTGAAGAATATCGAAAGCGCCGTGGACGGATTAATTGAAAGAGGGATGGGAAACTCCTTTTCGGAGCTCCTTGACGAATTGAACGACGAAAGAACGAGGAAAGCCAACGTGAGTGAGCGTTGCGGACGAAGCAAAAACTGTTCGCGATGTACTAATGTATTGGCAAAAAAGCCGAAAACCAGCAGTGTCTATAGTCCCAGCGGTGACTGTGAAGCAGACTGCGAAAATGCCGGCCAGTAACTCAAGTGCACGGAGAGCTCCAGTCAGGTTAGGTATGTGTGAAAATAAAGACTTAATTCGCAGTTCAGCTAATTGCCGCACGTAGAGCCGGAGTCTGGCCCATCTACTCTAAGTGAACCCGAGGAATCGCAAACCCATGAAGACCTGCAACCCGAAGGGAGTCGGCCCCAAGAAAAGAAGCCCGAGAAAAAGAAAACCACAAAGGGACACTTGTTCGAAAATATCACTTCATCCAAGAGCACAACCCAATACAATGGTGACGAAAGCGATATAATAAATGCAGCACATTCATATGATCGCTTGAAAGCTCGCGGCGACAGCTTCCAGCATAACGGGAATCGTGATTGTTATGGTGGAACAGGATCCCACAGGTACAAGAATGTACATGCAACGGGAAACGCTATACAACGGAATGGGAACATTGGAGGTAATATTACAGATGAACAAATAAGGCAAAGGGCCGGGAAGCTGAAAGAAGATCTGGATGGGATGGATTTGGATGAGGAGCTTTCAGAAGTGGATTCTGACGAGGGAGAGTCGGAAGAAGAGGAGTCAGACGAAGGTGACACTGATTGAGAAGTGAGTCCGTATATGTACATGGGATCGTATACTAAGTAAGATTATTGGTATAAAGAACGTGCAATAACTGTCAAGTGCTAAAGGTACATCAAGGCAATGGCACGTGACATCGACAATAAGAAATCAAACACCACTGCAGCTTTCAAATACCCCATCAATTGAAGCGGAGGGGTGAGAGGATAGGCTCCTCTTTGCAGGACCAATGTGTCGCCTCGGGATTTCGCCTTGTTATGACCTTGAAATGTTCAAATTTCTAATGAAGAAGAGACATCAAGTCTCGATGTCCTCCTTCTGGTCTGCCTTCACTTGGACACTGAGACCACATGACGTTTCGATAAACAAGGGAATGAATAGTGAAGAGCAGACTGGCGAAAGGCTATTCTCTTCAAGAACGTGCTCTCGGCTTTGTGCTTGGTTGATGATGCCTTGGAAACGAGGAAAAGAAAAGGTGAGTTAACAAAGGAACTCAGCCACGCTAGTCACTCGTTAAGCCTCGGCACTTTAGCGAGCACTCACGGTAACAACCATTTTGAGAGAAAAAAAAATTCAAAAAATCAAAAAGTTTAGAACCCTGCGAAAGGTTCTACTGGGAATTGAACCCAGATCCCCGGAATCAAAATCCGATGTGCTAACTGGTTTAAGGTCAGTAACGAATTTGAAGGTCTGAAGTAAAGGCTGAATTACCCATTACACCATAGAACCCGATTTTAGTTTGTTAACAAACTATCGATTGGATGGGCGAAAACTGCCTATTTAAATATATATATAGGCTATCTTTCAAAGGCGCTGGGATCCCACGGAAAGAATAGCTGTTTTCTCGCCTTCAAATAATCCGAAACCCGCATCACGTGTTTCCCCCACATTGAGACAACGTCGAACAGCCTGGGTTACTTCTCCCCCACAACTCCTCACCAATCGCCTGTTTCTCTCCACAGCCCATTCTTGAACTCGTCCACTCAACTTCTGCTTACTGTTGCCCTCGTATGCAGCTCGTCTGCCATTCCATCGGGCTATGCAGGGACCGCTCGTCCACTGCTCTGCCCACGGAATTGTCGGTCCCTTCCTGATCCAGCAGTTACGAGCAAAATCTTCGACTCTGCCTCGGGGCCCAAGGGAAATTCGCCCGATATCCGCGCAAGACGGACGGCAGCGGGCTCGATTGACACTATTGATGCCTCTCCCACTTATATGTGCTATACCGCCCCCCTTCCCTATAACCTGCTTACATCCTAGGTATTTCCTTTTCTCCCCTTCTGTGAAAAGCAACCACTTCGACGTAAGAACGTTGCACACGAGATATATAGGTGTAAATCATGCCTGACAGACATTCCTGGTCATCCGGTTGTTTGTAGTCCAGACCTGCCACGCTGGCAATGATTGAGGAGCAGAGCAGTGGCAGTCATGTAACTGCTGGTGTTATCTCCAGTGCGAGACGGCAGTCGATCGATATCAATCAGCAGAGTTCAGCACGACACTCAATGGATGGATATTACCAACAGGAGGGCATTTCCGAGCCTCCCGAGCCTCCGCCAAATTACGATGCTTTGCTCGAATCTCCTACATTGCGTCGACGATTCAATATACAGCCGAGAGAAGATGAAGGGCGAGAGGTTCTGCCGCCGTATTCGTGCGAGATAAGTGTGCAGAGCGTGTTTCTGAAGAAGATGGAACTCGAAGGCGCTGTACACAAGGCTCAAGATAGGAATTGGTACAAGGTTCTGGCTACGTTGCAAGGGACAGCATTGTCATTCTACAAATACCAGAAGCCAGGCATGTTCTCGTCTGCAAGAGATGCCACTGGGCGAAAGACTGGTCCAGATTTCCCTCCAGGACTGAAGCGCGGACAATTTCTACGGAGCTACAATCTTCAGCATGCGGATGTTGGCATTGCTGCTGATTACTTGAAGTAGGTCAATGTTCATTCCCTATTTTTCCTATGCATTGGGAGATCAATTCCTCCTTGAAGTCTTGGCAACATTCACTCCATTATCCACTCGACCGGATTTCCAAGGATAACTTGAACTCAAGTACTGACATCACGCAGAAAACGCTACGTGATCCGTGTCCGCGCCGAAGCCGACCAATTCCTCCTCTCTTGCCATAAGATCGAAACCTTTGTCCTATGGCTGCAATCCCTCTTTGCAGCAATCGACCTTGCTCCACCCCTTGATGATCGAGAAATCCCACGAGACCTAAGTATACCTCGCCGTACTCGTCGACGAATAGCAAGAACAGGCTTCAGCGATGCTCCGGCCAATACAGCATTGGTACGAGAGCAGGAAGAGATAATATCTACACAATTTCCACCCTTGGCTGTGGCCGAAACACAAGCTTCGGGCTCGGGGACCGATGTGTCGAGGCCTGAGTCTATAGCAGAGCAAGATAATATCATTGAGGAATTGGAATCGACATCTAGCTCTCCAGCTATCTCTCGACCCGTCTCCCCGCCTTCAGTTTCACCCAGCACAACAGACTCTAGCCCAACCGCCACAACCTCCTCATCACCAACCACAACCGCCCCTCCAAGTCCCAACCCAGCCTCTCCCTCACGCTCTTCACTCCTAACCCGCGCCCGCCAGGCTATGTCCTCATCCCCCTACCTCCCCTCCACCCCCACCACCACCCCCAACCCAAACATAACCAGCGACGGCAAATGGCGACCCCAACACCAATGGACCCATTTCTACGACATGATGTACGCTAAACGGTGCATGGCAGTCCTCACGCATCGGAGTCCGAGAAAGAGTAATTTGGTTATTATGAAGGGAAAACGGTGGGTTGTTGATTGGGCAACGGGGAAGTTGGAGAGGGAGGGACCGCCGGACTATGGTGAGGTTGTGGATGGTGATCTGAATCGGGTGGGTACTAGAGGGAAGGTTGGAGAGGCGCAGGGGACGCTGGTTGTGCAGAGAGAGGTGAGGGTTTGAGGGTTAGAAAGGTAAGAAAGGGGGAGATTTTGTGGTTGAGTGGGCGATAGAATGATAGATGGTTTGCAGATTAGGAGGGAGTTCTTGTTATAAAACGGCATGGCGTGGTTGCAAGCGAGCATTGGATTTTAGGTTGGGCTTTGTACTTTATACTTTATAGATAAAGAATAAAAATGCCTTGGATTTGTTACATCATTTCCTACTCGTACTGCGACTCGTAATGCGACTCGTAATGAAGGATGGAGATCTCGCTTGGTGGAAAAGGGGCGTTAGGCGGGCTATTGCACTCTATGCGACCACAGTGTAGACATGCGTGCTTCAGTTGTGGTAAAAAAAAACTATTCAACTTTAATGGCTTGAATACTCTCGTTGCATTCAATTCATGATCAGCAACTATGCAGGTTTGCAAAATCATAGAACGCCTATGTAATTACACGAAGCCCACCCTTCTTCTACATTCATCTTCCATACGATCGATCGTGAAGCCAGAGATTTCCACTGCCTATTTCTCAAATGAGGAAGCACAAACTTCTCAGCTACATTAGAAGGTCTAAGACTATCGCTCCACCTGCATCTGGGGAGGTGATGCATCGTCACATCTCTCCTCCTCACCTCTTCTAGACCTCCCACGGAACAGCGTTGCTCCGCCGGAAGAGACGCTCTTAGATGGTCGAATGTAGCAGTGCCATGCTTCTGTCTCTCCACTTGTCCCGCTGCCTCTTGACTGATGTACCCAATCCCTCGGGCAGAATAGACACCAATGACGGCGTCTAAAGTTCCAAGCCATGTTTTTCTAGTACAGTTGTCCCACAATTCTTCCCAACCGATGGCTATAACTCCAGGAGAGATATTACTTCCTCCTACCTTTCGTATCTTCGTAACAGCACAGCCGTCTCAAAATGTCCTCCCAAAAAGCCCGTGTCGATGTCCATGTCATCACCCTCTCTATGTCTCATACCAGACAAATATCTTCTCTCCACAATCCCATCTAGAGCAACCTCAACCCTCCATCTTCATCAAAACCTCCCCCGCCTCCCTTCCTTCACCGCTCAACTCCCCAACCTTCTCCCCCAGCCTCTCCCCTGCATCCCCCAAGTCCTTACCCCCCTGCTCTACCAGCTTAAGCAGCCTCTCAATCTCCTCCCTCTGCGCTCTAATATCAACCATCAAATTCGCATTCATAGATTGTTGTGTTTGGAGCCGTGCGTTCAACTGGCTGTTTTGCGCAATGTGGAGGGGGAGGGTGTGCGCGTTCATTAATGGCTTTGGTGGGAGGGTGTGCGGCCTTTCATCCTTATCATTAGCATTTGTTTTGAAAGTTGAAAAGTGAAGAGAGACGGAAATCAAAACAGAAGGCACTCACGGGACAAGAATCTCCCCCTCGCCATCCCCTTCAATCGAGCGTGCCTTCCTCCGCCTAGCATCCGCAATAAGATCCTCCAACCTATTCAACCTCTCTACAACCCCCCTCTCCTCCAAAATCGTCTGAAATTCCTCTCTAGCGAAATCTCCCAGGCGTGAAATCATACCGGAATGCATTCCTTGTAGAGCATGGCTGGCTTGGATGGAGATCTGCGGGAAGCAGGAGCTGAAGGAGGGGTAGGAGATGGATTTTAGGGTATTTGTTAGGATTCTGTCGTAGAGGTCGAGGAGGGCTGCTGCACGGGGGCCGGGTGCTGCTTGAACTGGGGCTTGGGGAGGTGGGGAAGGGGACTCATCGCGATTGTCGTTGGTGGAGGTTGAGGGGTCTGCTGATGGCATCGTGAGGATTGCGAATGTATTGATGTGAGTTTGAAGTCGCGAGTCTGTTGTTTGATCGTGCGCAAGTATGGTGGAATGCGGGAGAGTTGTCCGTGAGGAGAGAGGTGGTGTTGAGAAGTTGGAAGAGGAAGTTTGTTTACGCGATGTTGGACGCGACGAGGCTTTTGGCTCGGCATTTGGCGCTTTCCAATTAAACCAGAAATAATTAAATCACGACGACACCAATGTTCAAACTTGATTGAATTGCTTTAAAACTGGAACAAATGATAAATCATACATACATGTGGCATAAGAATTGAAATTGGAATTGTTGACCAGGGGGTTAGTGAGATATTCGTGTTTGAAATAGTTTGTATCACGTGCCGGCCATATGTCAAATGTTTGGGTGAGGGGGAACAAGTGTGAGGTATTGGGCATGTCTTCGGAGTTAGATTGAAAAGAGAATATATCTATTGAATCTGTTCAATGATGGATCAAGTTCCAACTCAGTTTGAAGGGACAACAGCAGCCAAACCATAACAGTACCATCTAGCAGGTCACAATCAGCAGAGCTTGGTTTCAGTACGAGAGGTTCTTCATTACGATCTAAAAGAGGTATATGTATCCATTCCTCATCATAGACATTCATAATCCCATCTCCATGTACTCGAAGAAAACATCATATATGCCTCCGATGCTCAAAACATTATGCAGTATCCAGGACATCGTATCCTATTTTACATCCCAGAACGCCCGCTCCATAGACAACCCAAGCCACATCACATCCAACATTTCATCTCATCTCTTTCCTCTCAACTCGTATCTCCCAATTGGTTTCGTTAAGTGAAATCAACAGTCCCCGAAGTCCCACCAGGATGATTCCCACCTTTCCGCTCTAACCTCCTCCTCCGCCTCCTCTCCGCCGCAGCCTCAGCTCCATCCCCTTGGCTAGCATCTGGACTCATGGCCGACCAAGTAGCATGACTCTCAGGACTATTCACACTCGGTGCTCCAACCGTCCCACTCGCTCCTGCT